TGTCACAGCTCACAGCAACCTCAAACTCTTGGGCTTAAGAGATTCTCTTGCCTCAGCCTCCCAAGTAGCTGGGACTATAGGCACCTGACACAATGCCCGACTATTTTTGGTTGCAGTTGTCATTGTTTAGCAGGCCTGGGCCAGGCTCAAACCTGACACCTTTGGTGTATGTGGCCAGTGCTCTCACTCACTCACTGAGCTATGGGTGCTGAGTCCAAAAGAGGATTTCTAAAAATATTTAAATCATGTCAGAATTATTAGCACAATCAAGGTCATAGAAGGAGAACTTTAATTTGATTAGCACAATTTTAGAAGCCAGTCTCTTTATAGCACAGTATAACAAAGTGGTTTAGAGCATAGCTGAGTCAGACTGCTCAGGTTTGAATCTACAGAGTAGCATTCACTCTCAGAATCTTGGTATTACACATCAATTTTCTCATCTGTAAAACGATGCCCTTTCTCAAAGGGTTGAAATGATTTATTAATGTGTTAATTGCTTAGAACAGAGCTTTGAATATTAAATATGCCCAATAAACTGGTAACCATTATCATAATTATTTTTGATCATTTCTCGAAGGCTAACTGAGTAAGTGCTAGGAACGCGAGTGCATTCCTGGATTGGAAGATCATGATGACTTGTTGGCTGGGGATTCACAATAAAGAAAACCAAATACAAGGGGCCTTGGAAGTTTTGACCAGTTTCCAAAAGATTCTGCCCCAATCTGGATCCCCCAAATAACCAGGACGAATCTCTGTACCTTGGCTTTAGTTCTATTTGGAATTTCTAATGTAACCCTATTACATAATTATTTGTATACAGATGTCCAAATGCCCAGGAATGTTTAATGTAAGCCCTTTCCTAAACATTATGCTTTACTGTGATTAATATTTAATTAAATTCTCTTTATTAAATAATAAACAAACAAATCACAGCAAACACTACAAGGAAGGGTATTCTAAAAGCAAGGTCTTGTCTTGTTTGCTATTGAATCACAAGTATCCCCAAATAGTTTATAGTACACAATAAGTGTCTAATAAGACTTTCTGAAAGAGTAAATAAATGCCTAGAAAATATATTCTTGGTTGCTTTTGAATGAACACTTCCCTTTTTTTCTTCTCTCTCCTATGAAACTATGTTTCAGGAGAAATGCATTACCTGATATCATAAGTACCAGTTTCAGATATCATAATTAAAAAATTTGTACCGTCTTCCCTTGATATCCTTGGGCGATTGGTTCCAAAACCCCTCCTCCCCTAGGATACCAAAATTCAAAAATGCTCAAATCCCTTACATAAAATGGCATAATATTTGCATATAACCTATGCACATCCTACTATATACTTCAAATCACCTCTAGATTATTTATATTACCTAATATGTCACTTCATTTGTGTAGATTCAGTGTAATGCTCAGTACACAGCAAATTCAAGTTTTGCTGTTTGGAACTTGCCTCCAGAACTATGTTTCCCTGAACCCTAGGTTAAGTCAAATCCTAAGAATACGGATTCCACTAACTTAGAATTTGTGATGATTCAATGCAGTACACACATGAGACTTAAACTGAGTAAAAAATCTGAAATCATTTGTTCTGCTATAAATATTGCAGGGTCTTGTTTTATGAACTAAGGGCTCAAACAATTAAAGATTCCTTAAATATGCCCCAAATGATTGCTTTGGCAAGTCTTATATTTTATCATGACATCCTAATATGCAGTATGGCCAATTTTGAATTAAAATTCTTCAAACACATTTCACTTTATATTTTTAACATGGACTAAACCAGAATGGAATAAATGTCAGTCTCTTCACTCTGCTTTTGATATACATGGAAGAACAACAGACAACTGGAGATGGAAGTTTCTCTAAGCCTTAACATCAGACCATTACTGTGACTTTGGTCACGCATTTAACCTGCGTCTGGTCTCTCATTTATCACACAAGGATGAGAAAAACACACCAACCTCCTGGGACTATCAGGAGGATCAAGTAAGAATGTACAGAAAACATAAATCTGTTTTTAATTTTAGAAAATTATAATTTGAATTTTTCATAAAAACTGGTCTTCCTTCAAATATTCTGAATTACACATGGTACAGAAATAGACCATAGCCATGTTCCACTTGCCTACCTTCTCAAAAAAAGTTTTTAGTTTTTAATTAAGACATGCTGCTGGCTCGGCGCCTATAGCTCAACCGGC